GGTTGGGGTAATTTAGATTGATATAAGACTTTATATTAAATAATGGAATATAAAATTGTTTTTCTTGTTTTATTTGGTCTCAAATACTCAGTTTGAATTTGATTTAAAAAAAGTACAATATAATGTGTACCGAAAATATCCAATTTGTTTTCTATCAGTACACCCCCATTGTACAGGTTAATTTTGTTGTTTTTTTTTCTGTCGTTTGATTTGTTTAAATAATTTTTTTTCCTATGCTGGTTCCTTGTTCTGTGGGATGTTCATTTCTATTATAAAACTTAAGTTTTCTATTCCAATTCTTTTCTTGTTTTTCTTTATTATATAATTTATTGATAGACATTTTAATATAATGTGGAATCGTCTTTTTTTATATAAGATTTTATTTTTTCTATTTAATATAAATTCTGAAATACACATATATTATGTTATATGAAGTTTACACTGTTTATTTTATGTTATTTTAATTTAATATTTTTTTTTCATATAATATTAAACAAATTCACGGAGAAAAATAATGAGTTGATACTTATATAACTTTTGTATAGAAATTTAACAGAACATAATTGTTTTTATGGTTAGCGTTTTTTAGAAATTGTAAGCGGCATTTGTAATTTACCCCCAAGGAAATTAGACAGTAGTTCCCGAACGCTGAGGAAACCCTGCAAAAAATTGCGACGCCGGACAGCCAGTACCGGGCAGTCAAAAAAAATTTGCACGACGGCCTCGTCATCGCCTCCATAGAATTTGCACAAAGAGGAGTTCGATTTCACCAGCTTATGCAAGTGCATCTTACTGGACAATGTTCAGTAAAGAAATTCGCACTAGCGAAAACACGAGTTTATCCAACCCCAACAACTAAGCATGTAACTTTGTAGAGTGCGATGGAAGAAAAATCTTTGCATAATGGTATCCCTTCGTGTTCCTCCAATGAAAGTCGAATTCTGTCCTAAGTAGGCAGGCAAGATTAGTTTCCACGACAGAAAGGCTGTCCACAGAAAGGCTCTATCTAACACAATCATAATAAGATTTGAAATTACTATGCAATATTTAAAAATGAAATTACATATAATGAAATGAACGAAAACCTTGTTTAAGATCTAAGCATATAATTCGTGAAATCTTAATGTGCTTTTTATCCTAATTCATCAAGGAATCTCCAACATTCATAACCTTGCCTTAATTTATTTTATAACGTATTAAATTGGATGGTATTCAATGTAATGAACCTCTGAAAATTATAATTAGTTTCGTAAAATTTCTAGAAAAATTATTAAACCAGAGTTTCTATATTTAAGTTGTAGTTTAAAAATAGCTTTGTTCATCCCATTATACAACTTTATATTATTTCTCTTATTTTGTATTTATAAATTCAAAGCTAATTATTCCCTTAATAGTTTTCTAGACATAAGTATATTAAATTTGAGTATTTATTAACTTTTAATATTTTTTTGATTTATTTTGGTAAAAATACTTTCCTAAGAAACCAAATTTATTAAGTATTTATATAATCTATTAAATTTCAAATTCGATTCTAATATTTTTGTCAGTGTACTTGTCTTTATTTCCGCAATAATTCCCAGTTGGAAAAAATAAAATTTATTAGAATGAATTGTCAAAAAAAAAATTAGTGCATTATAGGAAAAAAAACAAAAATTGCATAAAAAAGGGCGGCCTTTATATGAATCAGACTGGAACGTCACAATTTCATATTTTTCGAGTTGCTCTTCTGAAATGAAAATGAATTTAAGTTGAATGCTTCTTTTACCTTTTTAATTTTTTTCTTTTCTGTACGAAATGTTTATTTTTGGATTTTTTAATTTTACTCGTTAAAAATACAAAAATTTTTTTTTGTAGCTTCCCTAACGATTTATTCATATCATCATGTAAGAAAATAAATTTCATATATATGCTTATTCATATATCCCAGGGATTTGAATGCAAGTTATAATAAAAAAATGTACTTAGATTCGCATATGAACATTTTGTTATACGTATACGTACCTTAGCAGGTTTTTATATTGCCTGACTTTTATCTATTAATATTTTATCAAACGCTTTTAAATAAGACCTTTTTCATTCTAGAGTATATATAGAGACTTTATTATTACGTTAGCAAAAAAAAAATAATAATAACAAAAAAAAAATTCTGATATATTGTGTATAGAAAAAACGTTTAAAAGTAAAGTGTCCTTTTTAATAACTGCACATACATAATGTGTTCATATGTGTATAAAGAATACAAAAGAAAAACTTTGTATATTATGAATATTGTATATGGCCCTCTTTCTTTTGTTACTTTCTTTTCAGTTTGTTTTCCTTGTGTATACACTTAGCGTCAAAACAATCGTTAAAAATATTATGTACTCGTATGTAAGCTAAAAACTATTATATAGTAACATAATATAATAAGTAAGTGAATGCAGAAAATTTAAATATAAATCTAAAAATAACTGAAAATATTAGAAGGAAGTATAAATGTATAGAGGAAAAAGAAAAGGATATAAATAAAAAGGATAAATCTAAAAAAGAAAATTTTAATACTGTTATGTATATGCATGTATGTGCGCATACATATATCCTATCCTTTTCTATACATAAAGTTGAAATATAGCCAAAGTAACGAGGGCAAAAAGTCATTATAATTTTTTGCCTTTTCAAAGGTGCAAATAAGTGCACAAATTTTGTAAACTAACTATGCACTTATGCTTTCAGACAATGTGCAGATACGAGTAATGTCATACGAGTTATGTATATGTGAAAATTTATAACTACTTTTTATATATACAGTCTTAAACCTCATTTTAACTTACATGACAACTCCAGAGGTACTTGCGATAAAGATATCTGTGGCTTTAAGAAAAAAGTTTAGAATTTATTTTCGAGAAATTTTGTAACTTTGTATATATGTATTTGTTGAGAATTTCGTAAGGTAAATTGTCCCTATTTTAACAGAATATAAACTACATGTCCAAATACCATGTATAAATAATCTAAATATGAATTAAAATTGAGAACAACAATTTTATTTATGCACATTTTGCTTACAACCACAGAAATGTACAAAACACCAATTTTTTTTTTTCAAAAAAACGGAAATAAAATTTTTAACAAAAAACATGGTAGATAGCTTGTTTTGAAAATTGAACTTTTAATGTTTTTATGCTTTAATTTTTTTTTTATATAATTAAAGTTCCTTTTTTTGGCGATTTGGTATTATATAGGTATTTTAAAAAACGTGTAGAAAAATAAAAATTATTTTCATCTCGAACAATAGTTGCGACATGTATTTGTTATTGAAATTTTAATTTATTTTTTAAACAAATCAGGTCTTAAAATGTAATTGAATTTTTACTTCCTATATGAAAATTGGAATTTTTCTAAAACAAAAGTGTTATTTTAGCTCATAGAAAAGAGGTTATTGGAATAAGTTTTTTGTGTTTAATTTCTTGTATAAAATTACATTTTTAATTTTAAATTTTTAAAAGATACTACAAATTTACCACACTGTGTAGTAGTTTTGTATGTAAAATTATATGTAGGTTTCATAAAAAAACTATAAAATTTATTTATGTTTTATAGTTGTTTAATAATAAAATTTGAATGCATTTACTTTGCAAATTATGCTCAATTAAAATTCAAATTTCCCTAATTCGGGGTACATAATTTTTAGTTGCGAGTCTCAAATACTTTTCATTAATTTGGATATAAGTATGTTGTGTCAAAATCAAACCTATAATGAATACCATGATAAATAATGAATATAATGAATACCATGATTTTGCGGGGGCGGTAATGAAACTGCTGTGTGCATACTTTGCGACTGCCCGGTACTGGCTGTCCAACGGCGCAATTGTTTTGGACAGGGTTTCTTAAGTGTTCGGGAACTGCTGTCTAACTCCCTTTAATACTTGGAACGGGAATATTGTAGGAAGGGCGTGGGGAGGCTACAATAAGACGCGAATGGCTGCGGTGACCCGGGGAATACTCGGCTCCCTTAAAAAAAATCTACAAATACCATGATACTTAGGTGATGCAAATTGTCGAATTTTAAATCAATTATATAGTTAATGATTTCGGAATTAATCAACTTAAAAACATTTGTTTCTTAATAATTTGACTTGGTTTTCAAATGACATACAAGTATAAAATGTCGTATATTCTTAATCATATAATCTTTACCAATAAGAAGAATTTTCCGTGGTTCTTTATGAATTTCTTAAAACAATATTTATATTTTGATGATTTTAATAAAAGAATTTCATATAACATTTACAATATGTTTGTAGATAAGCATATTTGTATTAAATTTTAGTTTTACTTAATATTTTCAACAAAATGTAAAAGTTTTATAAGTTAATATATATTTTTAACAAATCGTAATAAATTGCATTGAAGTATAAAAGAAAATGAAAAGTCATTGTATTTAATAACTTCTATTATGGAAGTTTGAGGAATTAGTTTCAATATCTTACGTGTAATATACGTTAAGGTTTAATAACCTTTCACTTGACAAGGGAAAAACAAAATTAATTTGATTTATAATTTAATAATTCTGCGCATTTACAGAAATTAAACAATATTTACAAAAAACTTTTATTGTACCTACGAAAAATAAAAATTATGACAACAGTAAATATTACGACAGGAAACAACTTTCAAGTTGTCCTGAGGTTTATGATCTAGAATTTGATAGAGTTTATGTTCAAGATTGTTATAATGACATTGATGTACGTCTCACATTTTCTTAATGAAATTTTAGAACTTTAGATTAAACTTAATAAAATTTCGTTTATTTTAAATATAAAATTATTTTTAATAATATAATAATTTAGAATTTATAAATTACAAATTCATTTTCTCCACTCTCATAACTCATTTTTAAAAGAAAAATATTATTATTATATTTTTCTCCATTTATAACACCATTTTTTTTTGTAAAACAAAATATTTATAACTTTTAATGCTTATGTAATTAATTTTAAACTCTTATCTTTTTACAGGAATACTAAAACATAAATTCTTCCTTCCTCTACTCTACATTTTATATACATGTATATATATATAGATACTCATATCATATATATATACATGTGTATAACTATTTCAAACTTAAAACAACTTCAAAACTACAACAATTTTAAAACAAAACAAAAAAACAATAAAAATAAATAAATAAAATAAAGTTATTTGTTTTGAAAAAAATAGAAAAAAAATAAAATAGTTATTATTTATAAAAAAAACACAAGAAATAAAACGGTTAAATTTAACTTCCATAAAAGACACAAAACGACAACAAAATGTACAAAGAAAAATCTAATTCCGATTCGGAGCTTTACTGTCGCCGGAAAAAGTGTGAGAAATATAAAAGGTATTCAAAAAACAAAAAAAAAAACCTAAAAGAACAATTTAAAAAAAAATATGCAAAACTAAAATTATTCACCACTTTAGTACCATTTTATTGCAAAACCACAAAAAAAAAAAAAAATAACAAAGTTTTTTCATTTCAAGCTAGACAACGGCAGCGCGTTTTTCACGCTTATTTTTATCGCATCGCATACCATCATTGTTCTTTTTTTCACTTGATTTTTCGTGTTTTAGGTTCTTAAATTTTCAAACCAAAACTCATTATGCCATTTTTTGTCACATTGTTTTTGTTTTGCATTAATTTTCTCTTTAATGAAAATTTTTTTATGCCTTTTTTTTATTTTGTGCAAAAAGGAAAAACAAAAGCGACTTTTCCTTTTCATTAATTTAATAGATTTTTTTTCTAACCGCATTTAATGTCTATATAAGCGCAATAATCACCTCTCATACTTCGTTAATAAAATATAGCTAAAAAAAAAATTAAATTATTTTTCATATACACCTGCACATTTCACATCTTTATTTGACATTTTTCACTCCTTTTTTTCCAATGCTTACTTATTTTTAAAAATGCAATATTTTTATCATTAGAGTTTTATCTACAGATCTTTCCTTTTGACACCTTACAAATTTTTGATTTTGTCATTTTATAGACAAAATAAATTTCATAAAAATTTAAATTAATAACAATGCGAAACATGATAAAAACATCAAAAACAAATACCATAAAAAAAAAATCAAATTAAAAGTAAAAATCAAACTAATTTAAATGACAAAAAAAGGACTTTTTGCAGACTTTATTAATTTGCACAAAATTTTGTTATGAACACCATCTTTATTAAGTTTCGAAATAAAAAAATATGGGGGTAGTGAAAGATTCAACAAAGTTTTTTTTACTATAGTTTAAAAAAATCGAAAAACAAATTTTGTTTTCATATTTTATAAATAAATATAGGGTTATTCAAGCAATAAAAAACTTTAATTTGAAAAATTTAAAGAATCAAATATGAAAGGATCAAATTTTCATTATTAATACTGAGTTAAGAAATATGTCAAATATTAAACTATTAATAAAATAGAAATGTTAATTACTACATATGACGTAACCAAGAAAGTATCATTTAAAGTTACCGTTTCATTGAATCATGCAATAGTGACATATAATTTCTGAAATGTGGAAAATATTCGGATATTTATCAAATTAATCGGAAAAACAATATAAAATATGCAACAATTATAAAATATGAGATTTGGCGAACGGAGTAAAAACACTGACATCAAACATTGTTTATAAAATTTTGTTTGATTGCATTAGCTGAGCTGTGCTTTTCGTATCAAATCAAACAAAGTTCGTGAACGATTTGTAATAGTGTAAAAATCGATTTAGGGCTATAGAAAACATGTAACATTAATTGCGCGCACACTTAAGCATGCGATCATACGGTATGGAACTGAAATAAGCAATCAAACAGTTGCAAAATTAAAAATTGTATGTCCGTTTGATTGTAAAATTGTTTTGCGCACATAAAAGCAACAAAACTATCGCGTCAATTCAAGTCGAATGCGTCAACTAAAAATTGCAATCAGTTTGTAAATAATTATAAATTGTTTAATTGCTAATTTCATGCAATCATACAGTTGCAAGTGTGCGCGCTTGAATATAAATCTATGAAATACAAATAAGCAATCAAACTAGTATAAGATCAACTTTTAATTAAAATGTTTGAATTTAATTAATATATTCTGACATGATGAAATTATTTGCTTTCAAACAAATTGTTCAATATAAAAAAATTGTAAAGGCCCAGATTCAAATTTCTAAATAACAAAAAATAAATTTCTTATCACCACCGTGGTCGAAATACGTACATGTATACATATATTGAATGTTTTATCCATTTTAAAATTGAAGAATCTGTTTTATATTAAAAAGTAATTTTATTCCCCCTCAACAGCATTTTAGAATAAATTTGAGGTGTTAAAATGGAATAATTGTCAACCTTCTTTATATTTTCTAAATCTTCAGTCGCAAATTTCATATAAAAATTTGTCTATACGTACATTCGCATATATGTACTGGTGATGTTATACTTATATAGTCAAATAAAAATTAAAATGTATTTAAGTTTGGTTATATAAGTGTTATACATAAAATGTCACTATAACCAATACAAGCTACCTAGTGGCTATACACTCTGAATTAGATGATTGTCACAGAAAAATTTTCATTCCTTTGTTTTTTACGAATTTTGCATGATTCTAAATATTTTTTTTAATGTGCTATTAGACTGGGTCTAGAATCTAGATAGACGTTATATAACATTAAACCACAAAAAAAAACAAGTAAAAAATAAAATTGTAAGACAAAACAAAAGAGAATTTGTTAAAATTTCCATCAACCAACCATTTTATTGACACCATAACAAAAAAGGGTTATCAAATAATATCATAGTACCTATAAGTATAATGGTTTAAAACTACTATTATATTCTTTTACATATGTATGTGCATATTGTACATAGCACGACAACATCGATTCAAAAAAAAACTTTTTCCACCTTATTGAAAATATTTTTTAGTTTAAAAAATAAGTCATGTTCAGGTAAACTATAAGTCTTTCATTTTAAAATTTTTTACGATCAGAACAAGAATAGAGACTGGTATAAAAAAATAAATTATTGAATTGCCCAACTCAACCAGCTAAAGGAACTAATTTTTTCTGGTACAAAAATATTTTTCATTTTGTTAAAATTGTGGCACACGTACACAATCGTAAGAATTTAAAAATCGATTCAGTAAAATCAGTACGGTTATAAGAGTATAACTCCCTCAAAAGAATCGTCGAAGAATAGTTATTGTAAGTTAGGTAGTTAACAAACCTATAAGGGTACTACTAATCTTGCCTAAATACTAAATTGCTTAATTTATTTTTATATTAATGCTTTTTAATGATTAGCAAAGTTGGAGCATAAAAGAAAGTATAAATAGAAGGAGTGTTATTAATGTTAGAATGGAAAGTGTTATAAGAAAATTTTATACATTTATAGAACTAAATGGAAATTCTAAGCGTATATCTTTGCAAAACAACATAGGGGATTAGACATGATGGATTATTTGAACTCTCATAAAGAAAAAATAATGGAAACTACGTCCTAAAAATTTTAGTTACATTTGCTATATTTTTGCTACCTTTTCGCTAAGTTTCCTAAATTCTACTAATGCCGGAGTCTACTAGTTTGCAGAATATCTTACGAATACATGCAAGATTCTATCGAATTTTTTTCCGATTTCATATACATAGAAAAATTTGGTCAAATAAAGAAGTTGTACTGTAATTTTTAAATGTAAACTTATTTTGTGTTTAACATTGTAAACTTATTTTGCGTTTAAATTATTAAAACAAATTTAAATATGCAAGACTTGGGGTTGTCTCACTTTATAATGCATGTAATTAAGCAAACATATAATTTTTAAATTCTTGAAAAATATATTAAATTGATGTATGTATGTATGTACATATATGTATCTAAAACACATATTTATGTAGGACTATACAGAATCACTTAAATGCAGCCAAATATTATGAAAGTAAAATTAAAGTCATAATGTATTACTTTTTTAAAATAATATATTCAAAATTTTCCCTATTATATTTAATTTTATATGCATATATATACATACGTATCTATATACATACAAATATGTACATATATATTCTAGAGAATTTCTATAATGTCGTGACGTGAATATTTGAAAGTCCTTAGATGATTTCAGCATGAATTGAATGCAATGTATTCCATTATGTGTACATATTGCCTGTACATATAGGAATACATTTTTACATACACACATATTTATATAATGTACATGGTGTACATGACATGTATAATTAATTCAGTTCCTTTAAATTTTATTTTTTTCCCTTTTATAATTCTCTTGACTTTATTATTATTATTATTTTTTTTTTTTTTTTGGAAAACAAAATGGGAATTCTTAATAAGGAAAGAGTTCATTTTTGACTCAAACTTGAATAAATAATTAATTAATTTAAAAGTTTTATATATATATGCATACAATATGTTGTATTAACCTCTTCATAAAGTAGCATGTTTAAATAATAATAAGGAAATTATAACCGTTATTCACATTATTTTCTGTAATTTTTATGTAAATGTTGTTGTATTCATGTAAGTTAATGTAGGCAGATACTTTTAATATCTATGTGCAGATATGTGTGTTAGTTATATAATAGTTTGTTCATTCTCAATTAAAAAGTAATTTAGTGCGTGATTTTATACAGAAACCAAATGCAAATTAGTATTTCCAATATTTTCTTTTTAATTAATAATAACATTCAACATAGGGTATAATGAAGTTTATACTATGTTCAAATATTACTACTATATTACTATTGACGGTAGTAATAGTATACGTAATACACGTACCTATTCTATAATCAAATATATTTATGCGATTCATACACATTGTGTTTATGTGAATTTATTTAATTTTTAATTGAATCAAGTTATGCCTATTAAAATTTTTATAGTTACACGATCATAATTTCAAGTCTGTGTAAAAATCTTTAATTTTATTTTCCTTGCTTCATTTATGTAAACTTCGTGTAACTGCATTTTAAATCGAGTGTGCACTATAAAGGGTTTCTAGTTATTTTAATATGAATTGGGTTATTCTTATCTATAACTTGAATCTTTAATAGAGAAAATTATATCTATATATATGTATATGTAATATAAGGTACATATTAAAGGAGAGTAAAGTGTATTGCATGTAAAACTGGGTACAGAAATATTTTTAAATAGCATAAATATATGTGCATGTGTAAGTAGTTATAGTTCTGTAAAATTTTAATTAATCGTTTATTTCTTTGTTTGTTTTTTATTATTTTTTGCATTAATAAGTAGGTCATGAACAATTTTATTTATAAAGCTAATTAAAATTAATTCATTACGTTACAATATTATGGTTTTATATACTTTTGTT